GAGGACATAAATATATAACAAATCACTAGGCAGGTCTTTGAAGGCTTTACGAGCACCCTCAGGCATGTGATATGCTAAGGAATAGATCGTATGTCCACTTCCTTTTTGCTAAATCTCACCCATTTGTTCACATTGTTGTGGGTGTGGATGGATGGTACAATGCCAGTTTCTTTACCAACTTAATTTGCTGAGTCGCTCCTGGTATTTCTAATTTGCATGACCAAGTCATAGTGTTGATGGATGTGACTTTCAGTTATCTCTTTGTCTCAACGGGCTGTCAGTTCTGAATAATCCAGCATGCTACCTTTGGCCACATGTTCAAATGTTAATCGTTTCCACTGGTGGTGCTTCGTTTCTTGAACTGCTTGTTTTGTGATACCAGGAAACTCGTTATCGTCAACGATACCTTGATCTTATGGTAAACCATGAAGTGAGACATATCTTCAAGACCCGATCCAAAATTGTCTCATTTATTCGAAGGTTTCTTGATGGGCTTGATTTTTTGGAGGTAGGATTCTTCAAATATATTTTCTTGTACTTCTGATGATGCTCGGATGTTTGAACTACCTACATGTCTCTAGGTGGAGACTCCAATGATGAACATGATTGCCGGTGGAGCTGCTGCTAGGCCTTTTGTCACACACCATAATGATCTAAACATGAAGCTTTATATGCGTATTGCACCTGAGCTTTATCTGAAGGAACTGGTTGTTGGTGGATTGGACCGTGTCTATGAAATTGGGAAGCAGTTCAGGAATGAAGGGATTGATTTAACACACAATCCTGAATTCACAACAGTTGAGTTTTATATGGCGTATGCAGATTACAATGACTTGATGGAGCTTACTGAAGCCATGATATCTGGTGAGAATCTATTTCATCCATATTTTCCTTCTTCCTTTGTAACTTCTTCTGTAAATAATTTTTATTTTGATGTTGACAGGTATGGTTAAGGAGCTGACAGGTGGGTATAAGATAAAATATCATGCCAATGGAGTTGATAATCCACCGATAGAGATTGATTTCACGCCTCCCTTTAGGTAATAGTAGGATTAATTAAGATGTACTCCCTCTGTCCCAAAAGGCTTGTCTTAGACTTGTCTAGATACAGATGTATCTAGACACGTTTTAGTGTTAGATACATCCCTATGTAGATAAATCTAAGACAAGCTTTTTGGGATGGAGGTAATATTTGGTTAGTAGCATTTAAATTGTTTTTTGTGCTTTTTAACTGATCACCCAATTTCTTGCCTTATTGCAGAAGGATAGACATGATTGAAGGATTGGAGGCTATGGCCAAACTGGAGATACCAAAAGATATATCCAGTGATGAAACAAACAAGTATCTGATAGATGCATGTGCCAAGTATGACGTTAAATGTCCACCTCCCCAGACAACAACACGGCTGCTTGACAAGGTTTTACTTTTGACTCGTGGGCACTCCATCTGATGCTGTGTCTTCATTTTTTTTTGTTGGGTAGTTTTGGTCATATTTTTTGGCTTATATGACAAGTGTTTGGTGAAGAAAGCTGCATTCCCGTAGAACCCCTTATTTAGCATCATATTTTGCAACTTGCATTGTATTATGAAAACTAAACTCACAATCTCAGTGGTATTATTTGTTGTCATCTAAATTACCGTTGGGTTTGTGCCTTTGTGCTTAAGTTTCTTGATGATTTGTTAGCTAATTTTACAAGCCATGTTCTTTTAACAGCTAGTGGGCCATTTCTTGGAGGAAACATGTGTGAACCCAACATTTATTATCAACCACCCAGAGATAATGAGTCCATTGGCAAAGTGGCATAGGTCCCGACCTGGGTTGACAGAAAGGTTTGAGCTCTTTGTTAACAAACACGAGGTATGTCCTATTCTTCATATAGGTCCTTTGATACCTGGTCTCATTTATGCTGGCTTACACTGTGATCTGCAAATGTCTTCTAGGTGTGCAATGCCTACACTGAGTTGAACGATCCTGTTGTGCAAAGGCAACGGTTTGAGGAACAACTAAAGGTACCTGTTTGAATCTAGCTGAGAGCTAAATATAACCTTGTGAATTGTAATTTTTGCTGTAACCACCCCATTCTGTATGCTTTGAACTCAGCAAACGCCTAAGTAACCTTATTATATTTTTTCATGTTGATAATTGGACTATGTATGCTGGGGAACTTGAATGTTGTGCATATATTTTGTGTGAACTTATAAGAACAGCGAAGCTATGGAAGGGGGTACACTTATGGAATACTAATGGAGCCCGCATTGCTCTACTTCCATGAGTTGCTTGTTAAGAAGTTAAATAATTTTCTGGTCTTAAAATATTCCAGGATCGTCAATCTGGTGATGATGAAGCTATGGCTTTGGACGAAACATTCTGCACTGCCCTCGAGTATGGGCTGCCTCCGACAGGTGGTTGGGGTTTGGGAATTGATCGCCTTACAATGATGCTGACAGATTCCCAGAACATCAAGGTTAGGCTATTTCCATCATTTGTGTTCTTTCATGCAGTGCAACACTTTTTGACTTGCATTGCGGAACTCATCTTTCTGATGCATTTTCAGGAAGTTCTCTTGTTCCCGGCCATGAAGCCCCAAGAGTAGCTGTTTGCAAACCCATCAACAGGTCTGTGAACACACCACTTTATCTTTCTGATGTATGGATAACTCTTTGTGTGCAACATAAAAATGCAAACCCGCTGGGTTTATGAAAGAGGGGAAATTGGCTTTATCTCCATCTTAGTTACTTGTCTAACCTTGCATAACCGAGTCTTGCGGATCATGAAATGTCTCGGGTGTTAACAAAACTAAAGAGAAATAGTGCTCAGATTTCTTGTTGCACCTGAAAAATGCAGTAGCAGTATTTTGACCTGTTATACAATGGTTCAGTTTGTCGATCTGACTTGGTACGTCTATGCTGTTTCTGCAGAGTAATTTTGTTTTGCTGCGCTGAGGTTGGAGGATTATGACATGTGACAATACAACGAGTTTTAACTGTGCCGGACAAAACATGTGTAGCAGCACTGGAGGTACAAGCTACTTTTGCGTGGAAGGGTTGTTGAAAATTTGAACGTTAGGAGGAAGAGTGAGGCATATGAAGCAAGAATCAGAAGGAGACAGTGTGCTACATGTTTGCTTGTTTTCTTTTTGGAAGATCAAAATTTAATGCTTGGTATTGTTATACACTTTTTTGGATCTCCGTGTTACACTTGCCTTGCGTGTTATTCGTATGGACCACTAGAGCTAGAGGTGCCCCTTGCTCTTATGCTTGTAGCCAGGGTATTTGTTTTGAAAGATTGGTAGGATTGAAGGTCCCAGAAATTGGCATTCGAATCAAAAAATTTACAATACTAACTAGAGGACCCTAAAGAAAACTAAAATTAACTAGATACAAGATGCCATGGCCCATCAAGTGATGAAGGAGAAGCCAGCTTGCTTTTACCCTGAGCAACTCCAGATTGGTGCTCCGGGTGGCAGTGGAGATATCTGAAGTTCTAGTTCGTTATAAGTCAAAACTTCTGTAAGACATAAATACCGACATCTACAACACCAAATTAGCTTTGATAGATTATGGCCCTGTTTGGTTCATAAGTCCTAGGACTTTTTCTAGTCCCAACTAAAAAGTCCCTAGTCCCTCCCTGTTTGTTTCCAGGGACTAAAAAGTTCCTAGTCCCTCTCTAAAGGTTACTAAATAACCATGTTACCCCTAATATACAGAAAAATAACAACCAAACAACACCATGGAGCGGCGGGGCAATGGATGCAGGGAGAGGCATTGTTGGAAAAGTCCCCAAAACTCACAAAAAAAGACTCATTTTGAGAGTCGTCTTCATTTAATCTCAAAAAGCAAATTTTAGTCCCAATAGTCCTTCCTGTTTGATAAAAAAAGTCTCTAAGAGGGACTTTTTCTAGTCCCTACATCAAAAAGTCTTAGGAAACAAACACCCCCTATATTTTCATGCTACATATATTTTCTACAACACCATATCAAATTTTTTGTCTCTAAAGTTGATCGAATTTAAAAAGTTTGACCAAGGATAAATTTAGAACTTGAAATAGTATTTGTAAGACGTCGAGTTTTAGTATTGCAACAGCAAAAGAATTAGACATGGTCGATTTTTCGGATAGTTGGAACGGCTTTCCTTGTGGAATTCGACCGACGCTTTTGAAATTTTCAAGCACCCGAGAATTATCCAAAGCGAAACTGTACAGGCCCTCGCTGCGCCCCCGATAGAGGATGCGTTTCCCTTCCCAGTCCCCGCCGACGTGGCTATGCGTGGGGCCCGACGTTACGCACCGTTCACATCTGACGTCTTCTCGGCCGTCGCCGGGATTCCGGGACCGCTCCGCCGCGCGCGCGGTCTGCCGGATGGCTGCCCTCTGCCTGCGGCTCACTTTGGCGTCGGCCCTCTGGCAAAGCCTCCCCACCGGACGCGCCGCCGGCGTCCAAGAAGGCGACTGAGGCGGCCCGACCCAGGTCTGGGTTTTCAACTTATTCTCTTCCTTTTTGCATTCCTCTTCTTCGTATGCTATCAAAGTCGAAATTTGGCGAGTCTGGAGTCGAAAGCAGATCAGTTCTAAGTTTCTTTGATCAAATATTACAGTTGAAAGATGCGTTGTCGGTCGATTCTTCATCCGAATCTGACTGAAAGTTGACAAAACATTATATAATGTTCCTGACTAGTACTTCCTCCGTTCCATAATATAAGACCATTTTCCAACCTATGTTAGCTTAAAAAACGTTTTTATATTGTGGAACGGAGGGAGTAGCAATTTCCTGCACTAAAAGTGATGTCACGCCATAAGTGGAAGACGTAGACCTGTAGGTCGCCGATATTGACCACCTTGTGTTGTGTGTGGACTTCTGTGTGCAGACTCGACATCACCAAAAAACTTGTGGCTCTGCGAGTGCATTTTCAATCAGTTGAATCCCATAACTCTATCTACCACTCATTCAATCAGCTGAATCCCATAATTCTATCTACCACTCATTCAATCAGTTGAATCTCATGACTGATAACTCTATCCACCACTCTAACCAAAACGGCTGCTCCGTTTACAGTAGAGAGAGAGAGGGGATGAAGATGAAATGGCCTGTCAAGAAGACTGATAATAATACCCGGTTTCATCATATCCACAAAGTCGCTGCAATTGCCATGATCTTGCTCCTGTTTGCCTCTGGAACACCATTGCCCACCTCCGCGGACGCAAAGGGCCGATCAGCCTCCGGTTGCGTGGCAGGAGAAAGGGAGGCGCTCCTTTCCTTCAAGGAAAGCCTTCTGGACCCCGTTGGCCGTCTCTCCTCGTGGCGAGGCCGAGACTGCTGCCAGTGGCAGGGTGTCCGGTGCGACACCAGCACCGGACACGTCGCCGGAATCAACCTCCGCAACACCGCCCAAGATCCATGGAGTGCTGACTTGATGCTATCGAGTAGTGAGATGAGTTCCTCCATCACTGCTTTGCGATACTTGAGGTACCTTGATCTGAGCTACAACGACTTCAACCAGACAAGCATACCGACGTTCATCGGTGCTCTCGACAACTTACGGTACCTCAACCTCTCATTTGCAAATTTTGAAGGGAGGATACCTCCACACATCGGTAATCTCTCCAAGTTGCGGTATCTGGATGTTAGTGATGATACTGCTAGTCTTTCAGTGTCAAATCTTTCATGGTTGCATCGGCTCTCTGGTTTGATTCATCTCGATGTGAGCCGAGTGTTTGTCAGATCAGCTAGGAATTGGATCAGCCAAGTGAATATGCTTCCTAATCTTAAGGTCCTTCGATTGTCCGGTTGCGGGCTTAACAGTAGCGTCTCTACTCTGTCCCCTTCCAACCTCACACATCTGGAGGTGCTTGATCTGTCAGGCAATTCGTTTGGCACTCCGCTCCAACACAACTGGTTCTGGGATCTCACTAGCCTCAGGGAGCTTCAGCTCGCAATGTGTGACTGGCCAGCAGGCCCTATTCCTGATGCTCTGGGCAACATGTCCTCCCTTGTGGTCATTGATTTAAGTGCCAACTATCAACTATTCGGGTACATCCCGGCAAACCTGGAAAAGCTTTGCAATTTGCAGGTGCTGAATTTGGACTGGGTGAATATCAACGGGGACCTGACAAAACTCATGGACAGACTACCAAAGTGTTCATGGAGTGTGTTGCGTGAGGTGCACTTGTTACGAGCGAATTTGTCCGGGGAACTGCCAGATTGGATAGGAAATCTGACCAGTCTGAGCCAGCTTGACCTCTACCAGAACATGCTGGTTGGCCCTGTACCTGCCGGGATTGGAGCACTTGGCAATCTGACTTACCTGGACTTCGGCTTGAGCAAGCTCAGTGGCATGCTGTCGACGGAACATTTTGCAAACCTAGTGAGCTTAGAATATCTTGACCTTTCACACAACTCTCTGAAATTGGATCTAAACGGCAACTGGGTTCCACCATTCAGATTGGATATAGGATACTTCAGATCATGTAACTTGGGCCCTCAATTCCCGACGTGGCTGAGATGGCAAGCTGGCATAACCCGGCTTGATATTTCCAACGCAAGCATAAGTGATGTCTTGCCTGAATGGTTCTGGACTGTTTCTTCTCATGCTTCAGGATTGTACTTGTCAAGGAATCAACTGACTGGGGCCTTTCCAGCACAGTTGAATCTAGTATCAGTTGAAGTAATGGATCTTTCAAAAAATTCCCTGTCAGGTAAGCTCCCAGCAAATCTCACAGCTCCGATGCTCAGTCAGTTGCATCTTTCAAGCAATCATATCGAAGGTACCATCCCATCATATGTGTGTCAATTGAATGAGCTAACAGAACTGGATCTGTCCAGCAATCAACTCACAGGAGATCTTCCGAGATGCCCAGAAAATATTACATGGAGATCCGTTGGTCCCGATGTCACATATTGTCTTCAATTTGGTTGTTCCTTCTCGATTCTAGACTTGAAGAATAACAGCTTGTCAGGTAAATTCCCAGATTTCCTCCAAAATGCCTTAGGGTTAAGTTTTCTTGACCTTTCGCGCAATGTATTCTCTGGTAGTTTGCCAACATGGATAGATGAGAAAATGCCAAGCCTAGAAGTGCTGGTTCTACGATCAAACATGTTCTCTGGTCACCTTCCTAGGCAGTTTACAAATCTGCCCAGTCTTCATTACTTGGATGTGGCACATAACAACATATCAGGAAGGATACCTTCCTCTCTTGGGAGACTGAAAGCTATGACAGGTGAATCCGAAGGAAGCAAAAATAACTACAGCGACGACAGCATAATGACCATCACGAAAGACCAGGAGCGTCAATACACCCTTGATTTTGCAAACCCCATTGTGTTGATTGACCTGTCATGTAACAGTTTAACTGGACATATTCCGGCGGAGCTATCTTTTCTCAAGGGACTTCAGACGCTGAATCTCTCCGGCAACCAACTAGATGGAAGAATCGTGGATGGTATCGGCGCCTTAAGGAAATTGGAATCTTTGGACCTATCTTACAATCGTTTGGCCGGCGGAATCCCCCCAGGTTTATCTGACCTTACGTTTCTGAGCTGGCTAAACTTGTCCTACAATGGTCTATCAGGAAGAATCCCCTCGGGGAGGCAGCTACAGACACTCAATGATCCATATATATACGTCGGCAACCATGGGCTCTGTGGGCTTCCTCTCCCCAACAATTGTTCAAATGGAGCAAACCCAAGTGCCCATGAAGAACATGAAGGTGCACCTAATGATACAACATATTTGTTCCTTGGCATAAGCATGGGGTATGTAGTGGGCCTGTGGACAGTGTTTTGCATCCTTCTGTTCAGCAGAACTTGGAGGGCTGCGTGGTTCCGGCTTTTCGATCAGTTGTGTGACAAGAGCTATGTGCAAGTGGTCGTTGCTAAGGCCGCCATGGCAAGGAGCTTCAGAGACGAGGCATTGTGAAGGTTTTCTTGCACTGCACAACCCTTGGATATATATATGGTCTTACAACCGGTTTGGATGGCGGTCCAATAATAGGATAGGTGTCTAGTCATCTTACCCTATTTTCGCCGGTTGTGACAACTTTTTTTTAAGCATTTCGTCGGATTGTTTGAGACCTTGTTTTGTACCTGAAACTTTATGCAATAAAATGGCTGTGTGCATCATGCGATGCAGAGGCCGGGGGTCTTCCTCCTTTTTGAAAAAAAAGTGTTATGTTGTGTGTAGTAATAATATGATACAGAGAGAACATGTTTAATGCGTCTGTATCTTCAATGTGGCTTATTTGACGGTCAATTACTGAAGCATGCCATGTCTGCACTCACTAGCAATGCTCGCTTGCAGAGCAGAGCACTGCTTTGCTGTTAGTATAATTGTTAAAGCTCATGTTCTGTAGCTGGAAGGAGAGTTTCATGTAACCAAGTCTAAACATTCGCTATGTCCTAGGAACTATGTCTAGTTTTGTGTGTGGTGTTTTTCTGGTACCAAGGAACTGCCTCAACACTCTGGTGGTTTTCAACAGTGGTTCAGTGACAGTGTATGAAGAAGTAAGCGAATTTTAAGTAGGGTGTGGTTTCTCTTAGTTTTGCCTGTCTGGATCTGTTTTCGCGTGTCCGATTTCTGCGCAAAACAAATGAAGGAACGATCATTCACCAGCCTTTTGCACATCTGGTGCGAAATCGTTCCAAGATGCCATAACTTCATTAGCCATTGACCCTTATTCTGTCTGATTAGTTCGGTTGTTTCTTGTCGATTCTAGACTTAAAGGTCTGGTAAATTCTGTAAAGTTCGGTTTTCTTGACCTTTCTGGCAACATACTCTGGTAGTTTGCCAACATGGCTGGGTGAGAAAATGCCAAGCTTAGAAGTTTTGATTGTGCGATCAAACATGTTTTGATCACCTTCACAAGCCATTCACAAATCTTGGTCTCGTCTCTGGCGAGACCGAAAGCTATGACAGGTGAATCCGCATGGAGCAAAAGTAATTTCAGCGACGACAGGCCAGGAGCGTCAATGCAACCTCGGTTCCACAAATCCAATCATGTTGATTGACCTGTCATGTAACAGCTTAATATGCTTTTTCCTGTTAAAAAAAATTAAAAATGTAGTGACACCTTAATTGGACAGTTGTATCTTTGCTTGAGGGACTTCAAACAGCTGTTGAAGCGGATCAAGATGAAGAAGCATCTCCCAAGTCCCAATGATACGATATCTTTGTTCCTGTGGAGGGCTGCGTCTGCGTGGTTTCTGCTTTTTGATGAGTTGTGTTCCTTAAGTGTTCTCTTGTGTGTACTAATATGATGAAGAGAAAACTTGTTTAACGCGCCTGTATCTTTCAACATGGTTTATTTCACAGTCGATTACTTGAGCATTCCATGGCTGCATTCACCAGCTATATATAATCTCATACCGAGTAGAGCACTGGCAGGGGTTCCTCTGCCAGTATAATAACTCCTACAGAAAAGGGGACTCAAATTCTGTTGTCGCCGCCTGGTATCGCCTGTCCTGCCCGATCCAGCAGGTAGCATAGTCTAGACCGAACCGTTTGCCTGGATAGCTATGGTACTCGATCTCATGATGACAAGAAAAGCCATGGCTACACGAAAGCCAAAAACCTGCAAATTAAGGATGAACCTACCACCGTGGCTCCATCGTGTCCATCACGCACACACTCGCACCCGGCGCTCCAGCCACAGTTTCTCATCGCCTGTTGTCGCCAAGCTCTGGCAAGAGGATTTGAGGACTGGCCTAGGCGCGCGCTCCACGCCAGGCGCTAGAGCGCGCCAGCGCAGCCGAGCACGGGCGCATGCAGCGCCGGCAGACGATCGACCGAGCGATAACTGTGCCCAGGCGTGCACTGTTAGTGATGCAATTATGCGCTCGCCACGGAGCTCTGTCAGGGGGGCACACGCACATGCGCTCCAAGCCAGGAGCTAGGGCGTTGGCGCGGACGACCGAGCGATCGTTGCGGGGGGGCCGGACCGCGGCGGCGCCGGTGGCGCGACGACGGAGACGGAGCCCATCGGCCATGTGCTCGCGTCATGCGCGCGCGCTCCACGACAGGAGTTAGGGCGAGCGAGGCCAGCCAGGCAGGCACGCGGCGCTGGCACAGACCGGCAGATAATTCGGGCCCGGGGGTCCGGACGGCGAGTGGCAATGGTGGGCGACGTCGACGTGCCCGTGGCCGCGAGGCACGCACCCTGCGCGCGGACGTGGGCGCCGTACGTGCGTCCGCGAGGTTGATAGCGCGCGGACGTGGGCGCCGTACGTGCGTCCGCGAGGTTGATAGCGCGCGGTGGGTGCCGGCCCGGCAACGTCGCGCATTGACGCGCGCGTGTGGGCGTGTTGATTCGGTGAGCGACCGCGGCCCGGCAAGGCCAGTAAAGACGTACGTGGGCATGCACACGCCCCAACTAGCCAGAGCTGTACGTGCGATCGACGTGAATGTCTGGCCACCTGCGTACAATACTACGTACGTATGTAACTGTATCAGAGCACGTGGTATGTAAGTACGAGACTGGTGTACACCAAATCATCCCTAGCACCCTTTTCATGGTAATACGTGTCTCATTCATGTGATAAAGATCAAAGTACAAGTCACGTAAGGACCGACATACAAAACCGAGAAGATAGTAAAACATCTCTGAGTTTGACACCAATGTCTGTCACCTGTCTCCGGCACCACCACAACAGACACCAAAGAATAGAATGACAGATCATCTCCTCACCCGAGCTCGATGCTGCTCCATCGCTGATATGCAACTTTGTGGACCTCCAAGGCTGCTCCCCAAAAGTGAAGCCATTGCCCTTAAACGAATCAGACCGGGGCAACACCCCAGACACGCCATCAAACACTAGATCTTACACCCCACCATGACTAAGACACCGAACGAGGAAACCACACCTACCATCCATCAACCACGAACCCAACACACGTTTCGTCTTTCACATGTCGTCGATGCAGACCACAATCTGCATCCGTTCCTGGACTATCCTCCAAGCTCCGGGCCGATGTTGGAGCAGGCGTCGTCGCAGTGGCGAAGTCCGAGGACACATGTCCACCACGAGGATGCCGCCGCTGCCACACAATCCTTACTTAAAGATACTGAATTCCAAATCCATCCCCAATGATAGGATCAATCGTCTCATCGGAGTAGGATCTGAAGAAATTTTATTCAACGCCGCTATCACCGCCGCGGAAGCCAAGACGATGAATAGCCTAAAAAACCTAAGATACTTTGGCCTAAATTATCATGGATCCGGCGACCCCTCTCACCGGCGACGACCGAGGTCATCGACAGAGAGGAGCCGCCAGAGAACAGCGGCGGAGCACAAGTCCCGAAAGTTAGATCGCTTTTCCTGTCTTCTGAAGGAAGATATGAAAATGTATATTCGCCCCCCTAGGCCCCTTGTATAGGATCGACGTGAATGTCTGGCTACCTGCACAGTACGTATGTAACTGTAAGCATGTACGTATGTACGCGCAGGACTTGTTCCGTGCGTGCCGGAAAAAGTCTAAAATAAACCATGAATTTATAGACAAAAGATAAATCGAACCCTCAATTTTGAATCCCGGAAATTGGCACTCTAAATTTATCGATCCCGGTCTATTTTAAACCCTGTGCCTGTTTTCCATGCCAGAAAAAAACAACTCAAATTGCTACTCTCACTGACAGCACTGGCCCACTT